AGCAGAGAATTCCATTTTCAAAACTGGATCAATTCAGTTCCCTGAACGGTTATTAAATGTTGTTGAAAGGAAAAGTTCTCCTGTCTCAGTGTGTGGCAGGCATCAAATTATTAAAAACACAATGTTCATAAAGTAAAACATCAATTATTTTGTTTTCATACTGTTTTTAATTTGATACAGGTCAAACAGAATTTACTAATCACTACTTTGTTTTTTTATAGCATTTCATATACTCTCCCAATGTTTTTGAAATTGAGGTACAGATTTTTCTCATGGACGTCCATTTCACCTGTATCACCACTGTCACTAGTACCAAGCAGTAATGTAGTAGTTTTCTGTTTCATACATTTGGAAGTAAATGGTTCTTATTGCTTCTTTCAAATAAACTAATATGTACATATGTGGGAGGTGTTGCTGGCATTTAGTCTCCATTGGATATCTGTGGAGAACCAACTTTGTGCAAAAGCATATGATTTTTTGTGCAGTGTTATTGCCTGTGACCGCTCACATATTCATTGGCCTTCAGTAGCCTCTTGTACCTGCTAGCACTGCCTGCATTTCTCTTTAAACGTATTTGAGTGCAGTGTTTTATTCAAATGATAATTTGATGGAAATGTTCAGAAACTTGAGTGGAAAAATCTGTTCAGTAATGGAACCTCAGGTATTTCCTGATTAATTTGGCTAACATTAGTTTGTTAGCCTTTGGCTGTACACAGTCTTGATCATGATAACATTCTTTTGATTGTATGGGCACTTTTGGAATTTCTTTCTTTTATGGTCAAAATCCTTGTTATAATGTTTTCAGAAGCTGACCTGCAGCTTATGTAAAAACCCAGAGGGGTTATTTTGGAGTGTTTCTCTTCCAAAATTTTGGATTTCTGTTTTTAAGGTGCTAGAGTAAAGCTTTCTAACGAGATTGACTGCACTACCCTGTAATTTAAATGTTGTATTGACAATTTACGCACTTTGTTGTTAATTATGGTTTTGAGCTAGTGATCAGTAAACTGCAGAGGAATAGAATAGTTTCCCTGTTTATGTGTAGGTAATTTGTAGACAAATTCACCTGTGGCTCCATCCAGACCTCTGAACTCATGCATTATTTTGTAGTTATTGAAATGCCAAAAGAAGGAACTCCAGCCAAAGGTGTTTTTCCAATGGGAAAAATGAATGGCGTTTTGGAAGATCACAGTTGTCACACCCCAGTGTTTAACAAAAATATTATAAGGCCATTATATTTTGTCCTGTTCATATCCTTCACTTGAATGTCACTGGATCCTGACATTCAAAGTCAATAAGGAGTCGAAATATGCTTGTTTATGTTTCGGCATGTCACTGACTACATGATACAAATACAAATGACACAATACGAATTATACTTCACAACTCAACGTCTAACCTGAGAAAGCAGTTAGTTGGTGGGCTAACTATTTTAGCTAAATAGTTACTGTATTCTTTTAATAAAATATTTTTATTTTGTCATTATAGAATAGGGGGTTAATGGTTAATGCTTAAGTTAAGCTAAAGGCTTAGCCAATAAAACCTTTTACCTTTTTTGTGTAAGATAAATTAAAAGTAACAAAATAATTGCTTAAATAGTTTTTCGGTAAACAGCTTAATTTCTTGACTTATTTTCTTTATTAATGCTTAGCACTGCTGTAGCAGATAGTAGGCATTTTCAGTACTTTTTCCACTCTTGACTGTAAGAAGTAAGTAAACTGATGTCATGGACAACCAGAAAGACACCAGCGTAGCTTGGTAATAGCACCATTTTGCAGAGCCTCTCATTTGCTTTCGAGAGGAGGTCTGCACATGCTTACACATGTCGTGTTCAGAACGTAAACAGAGGGCCCCACTGCCCCCTCAGCCCATTGTGCGTCTTTTAAAGCCTGCTCATGGGACACAGATAGTGGATTCAGTGCTAACCAGAAATGGTTGCTCTCAAGCTGGCTGGCATTTCATATCAGAGGTGACGTGTTTCCCATTGCCTCTTCCATCTTTTGCTAACACACACGGCATATGGAGATACAACAGCCTTTGTGTTGGGCTGAATTGTTGCGCCTGGGTGGCTTTGTACTGCTATTCCACCACTATAGGCAGAATTCTGGGAACTCATTGTCGTCACTGTTGATAAATGAATGTGCGCTCTTTTGGATTGGTTAAAGGCCATCATTGGCACACAGTAATGCCAGTGCTCTGTCTGTTGTATAGTTTGGCTTGCAAGAAGTCAATTATCTGATTGGCCTGAAGGCACAGAGAGTGTTTTCTAGAGGAAAGGTTTATTTTGCCAAATGTTAATGGCAGTGGTTCTGAAATGTGCTTTAACAGTTTTAAGTAGGAGACATGCTGATGATGCTTATCAGTCTGTTATGAAAACACAGGACTTTCAGGTTAGGCAAATGTTTATAGTCAGTGATTATCACCTCAAAGCAATCCTATATTAAATTCTATAAAAAATCTTTTTTTCAGATTGTCAGCTTGTAGGAAATGTGTAAAATGTACATACTGAAGGCTATTCTACACACACACACACACACACACACACACACACACACACACACACACCTACCATAAAAAATTAAACTCATAGATGAACTAGAAACATGCATTTCCTGAAGAAAATCCAGAGTGATTAGGCAGCTTAAGTATGCTAAGATGTTGTTAGGTGGTTGCTGTGGTGTTCCAGATTGCTAGGGTGATGCTAGACAGTTACTGTGGTATCACAAGTGGTTGCTAAGGTACTACTAGGTGGTTGCCGTGGTATCCCACGTGTTTGCTAAGATATTGCTAGATGGTTGCTATGGTATTCCTAGTGGTTGCTAAGGTGTTGCTAGGTGGTTGCTGGTGGTTGCTATGGTAACCGGACATAGTTAATAGGGTATTACATCATTGTGATATAAGCTGGGTGCACAAACTTTTTCACCCAATTCATTCCTAAGGGGAAAAAAATTAATCATTTAATGTTAATTGTATGAAAATTGTACATCCAATCAAAAAGCTGTACACAAGCATGGCATTCCTGATCAAACCGAACATTCCAGTGTTGGAACAGTGTCGATATCTTGAAAATTGTGGGAGTTAGCAGACAAAGATCCGGCAGAAAAATAATAAGAAGAAAAAGAAAAATATAAATTGGATAGCAGTAGTGTTGCACATTGCTTTGCATTGTACAATCACTAGTAGCCGTTCTCACAAAAAGGAAAGACCCAAGACCTTCCTGTATTACTTCCAGTTTGCTATAAGAAGAATAAAGCTGAACTAGGCTTTTAATCATATCTGAATTTGTTTTCAAATGTAACTGACATCTAATGCATTTAATTTTGCAGAAAATTAGAAAAACTGGTGGAATTCCCCTTTAGCATTTTACTTTTATTTATAGGACAAGCTTTGGAAAATAATTACTTTAGGTGAATAATTTATACAGATCATCAGGTGGTTAACAATCATATGACATGACTAAGAATCAGAAAAAACAGTATATTACTAAGCATTTATTTCATCAGCTTCTTTGCTGATAATTAATTTAAATTAAAATGTTGATGAGGCGTAGCAGAAGAGATGACCCTCGGTATGAGTAACTGCTATAGCCTCACTGATGTCATGCATAAACACACAGGCTGATTTAAGCTTTTGGTTAGAGATGGGTTTCATTGCAATTATCCACACTCCATTATGTTCCTAATGATTTGATTACACCATTAAACAGTGTCAGTGGCTCTCAGTGTTTATCAATAGTGTTTAAGAGCACATTGGCCTTGTGATGCCTTTAGAGTTCGGGGTGATACTGATAAAGGTTCATTGACTGAAGCAGTATACAAATTAAAGTTGGAAAATAGCATCAGTTACTTACTGATATCTGCAGATGCCAGTCTGATGTTTTTATTTGAGCCATTTTATAATGTATGCGCTTAAATGTAATTACACACTAATGTAATGTGTGTAAATGGAATTAGTTTAAGTAGTGGATATAATAAAGTTATGTTTATTTATTTGTTCAAAATGTTCTTCCAAATGATCGTTCCAGTACGTTCCTAGCATACTTTCCCCGAAGTGGAGCACAACCTGAGCAAACACAATATCATACTAATGTGGAATATCTCTAAATGGGAAACACACTTAGTCCCATTACAGAGACTATTAGAGCTGAAGGTCAAACTACTTTTACTTAAGAGGGCAATATTGTACACGGCGCTGTTAGAGCGTCTAACATCTGCTGTCCTGAACTGTTATTTCCAAAAACTACTTCTTCTTCTTCTTTTTTTTCTTCTTTGTATGTTATTTCTTTTGTCTTCGTTCATTCGTTTGTTCTATCTTTTGTTTTCATTCTTTCTTTTGTCCTCATTCATTTGTTCTTTCGTTCTTTTTGTCTTTGTTCGTTCTTTCTTTCTTTTTCTTTCTTTTGACTTTGTTCTTTCTTTCTTTTTTGTTTTTGTTTGTTCTTTCTCTTTCTTTTATCTTTGTTCTTTCATTCTTTTTTGTTTTCGTTTGTTCTTTTGTTCTTTTTCTTTTCTTTGTTCATTTGTTCTTTTTCTTTTGTCTTTGATCGTTCCTTCTTTTGACTGTTCTTTCTTTCGTTTTTTTAGCTTCATTTGTTCTTTCTTTTTCTCTTGTCTTTGGTCGTTCTTTCATTCTTTCTTTTTCTTTTGTCTTTGTTTTTTCGTTCTTTTTTTGTCTTCATTCTTGGTTTCTTTCTTTCTTGTTTTCTCTCTTTCTGTCTTCGTTCGTTCATTCTTTCTTTCTTTTTCTATTGTCTATGTTCTTTCTTTTTGTTTCTTCTTCTTCCTTTATGTTTCTGTCTTCCTTCTTTCTTCTGACTTCCTTCTTATCCTTCTTCCACTTTTTCTTGTTCGACTCCTCTTTTTCATTCTTGTTATTGTTGGTGGGTCTCTCAGTATCTAAGTTAAACCTTCTCTAGTGAAATGTGTTTCATGATTAATTGCATTTGGAGGTGAAGAAACATTCTTCATTGCCAAAAGATAAATAACATGTCTGTCTGTGTCCAGCTCATAGGTGGCTTTGTTTTTGCCGCTGGCATTTATGCAGAAGTGGAGCGGCAGCGCTACAAAACTCTGGAGGGGGTCTTCCTCGCCCCAGCCATCATGCTCATAGTGCTGGGGTTGATCATGTTTGCTGTGTCCTTCATCGGTGTGCTGGCATCACTCAGAGACAACCTGACTCTCCTCAAAGTGGTGAGTTCTGTCTCCACTCTAAGGAAATGTATTATATAATATATTTAAGCTGCAATGTAGATTCACAGTACAGTCCTGTTTAATGGGGCAGCTGAAGAGGGATCGAGGAAGAAGAGACTGTAACACAGATGTTGTAAAGTGCAGCTAAAGCTGAAAGGCAGACTGTGGGGCACTACGAAATGAAAAAGCCAGGGGTCCTGTTTTTTTTTTTCCAGGTCACTGGTGCCATTAGCATCTCACTAAGGGGCTTCAGCTAGAGTCCTATAAAACTAATCCTGTCAGCACTCACCACAACTGCTCTGAAATTCTGTCAGAATATTGCCCACAGATTAAGTGTATTTTACACAAAATGTAAGAAAAGTCAGTTGAATAGCTAATGAATGTTGTTTGTGTAGTTTTGTCTAATTTTTCAGATTCAGAGTATTATTAATTTGACTCTGTTTGTGTTAAGGATGCCTGCTATTGCTTAATTAGTAAAATAATAATCAATTACCATGATAAAATACACCAGTGTGCAATAAATAATATAATTAATTTATAATAATGGTACTAAACAGTTCTTCCACCAAGCAGTGTAGTTTGTAAACAGTAGGCTATGGTCCCAAGCAACATAATAGACAAAGAATATTCCTCGGGCAGTACAAGTTGACACATTTACAAATGTATTTTTTTGTAGCAACTGTTGCAAGGTTGGACTAGCTTTACAAAATATTGCCAAATATATATATTGCCAAATATCCCAGTAACACTAATAAATTAGGTTGGCGTTTAGATTTGCTAGTGTATTGTTGTGTTTCCAGTTTAAAATTCTACAATACTTAGCTGGACTTTTGTTGTTGTAGCTAATTTTTTAATTAATTTGACGACTTTAAGGTGCACCCATTGCTGACAAAGGTGTTCAGTGTACAGACAGCTTGTACAATCTCCATAAAATAAGTGCTGCCAATAGAATGAGACTCTCGGAGAAGCTGCACATGAGATGGTCACCATGTTCAGTGCCAAGCATTGCTCTAGGTGTAGAAAGCCTACCAGCACTGGGCTGTGGAGCAGTAGAACTGCATTCTCTGGAGTGATGAAGTACCTTTAGGATGAATTGGAGTGGCATTAGTGATCTAGAACTAATCATCTGACGTCTGTACCTGACCTCACTAATGCTCTTGTGGCTGAATGCAATCAGATCCTCACAGCAATGTTCCATCATCTAGCCTAGAAGAAATGTTGGATGAGCAGGCGTCTACAAACCTTTGGACATGCAGTGTATTTTATGAGAACCTAAATACTTTGTTTCTCAGTAGGTTGAATGGGATTTTTGCCAAAGATCTGTAGAGCTTTTGCCTGTAGCAACAGTTCCTACAAGAGAGCACATGGGAAACATGGGTAATTAAACTGATGTGTGCGGTCTTGTGTGTATGTTGTATTTTACAACAGCTTAGAAAGTGTCTGAACCAGTCACAACCAGAACGATGTGTTTGTAATGAACAGTAATCTCTAGATATTTTAACATTTCCAGGAAGTCGTCTTTCAGAGCCCTCCTTTGTTTAACATAGTTTTTCTGTTCAGTGTTACATCAGACATTTACTGCCTTGCCAGTCTCGCTATTCTTGCAGCAGTGTCATTTGGTAAAAGTCCAGTCCTCTCACAGTGATAAATTCTTAAAGCTTTGATTGTCTATTGTGTAGTGAAGCAGCACCTCACATGTTTTTAGTGCAAGAATAATTCAATCATGTGTCCTTCAAGAACGCTGTCATTTTTAAAGAAATCTTGTGCCTTTCTTAATCACACACCCCAGTGGCACACGTCTGTGACCGGCAAACATCTTTTGCTGTCACCAGGTGCTTTGACTTCCGGAATCGGAATACTTGTCTTTGAACAAGGACACCTCCCTCATAAGAGGTCATGACTTGGGCCATGAGGTTCAAGAGTCCAGGCAGCACCTTTTGTTCTTAAATAATGTAGATGATTTGATTTTTCTAATCACATTCTGCTGTTTGGCATTGCAGTTCCTGTACACCCTGGCTTTGTGTCTCATTTTGGAGCTCCTGGGTGGAATTGTTGCACTGATTTTCAGGAACCAGGTTTGTTTCTATCTGTTTGTCTTTTACAACCCACCTCTCTGCTCTCACTGTCACTTACTAAGGTTGTTTATGTATTTATATTGCACTGCAGATTTTGAGCATTGACATTTGATGTCAGCTGTGTGTAGTCTTTAGAGTTAGAGGTTACTTTGATACATAAGATACATTTACACTCATTTCAAGTAGCATATAAGTAAAGAATGCACAGTAGCAGCAATTAAATATATATATATATATATAGATATGAGTTTGATATGTTTTGACCCATATTTAATGCTGATGTGATTGTAATATGTTAACTATTTTCTGGTTCGTTGTATAAACTTGTGCCTGTGCACAAAATGCGCTTTTTTTTTTTTTTAAACCAGTTTTTGAATCTGGCTTTATTTTCACAGTACAGCTACAAATTCTGCTTAATTTCCCCAAAAATGTATTATAAACGGATATACTTACATTTATTCATAAACAAATCTACAGTCACATTTGTCAACAGCTTAGCCTACACCACTCAACTCCCAAAGCGTTAAATATGGGCTAATTGTGATGTTTGCCATGTTAACCATTTGTCCTACCCATCGAGCAGTGCTACCAAGCATGTGCTTGTCATTAGTGTAGAGTAGTAACTTCCATTTCAATTCAGTACAGACTTAGTATTACTACTTTCCCTCTTGATAAGGTAATTAGGATATCATAATATCCTAATTATTGTTTTGTTGGTAACATTTTCTGATAAGAACATTAGCCAGCTTCTTGTTAAAACTTTCCCATTCCACCTTAAATGGTACAGCAGTTACATTCTGGCAGCTGAAACCGTTATATTAGCTGCTGCACCATTTAAGATGGAACGGGAAAATTCAAACAAGAAGCTGGCAAAAAAGAAGATGAGTTCAGTTTAGTAGTTTTAACACTGGCAGAATTTTTGATAAGGTGATTTAAGCTATAAAAATATCCTGCTTAGAGGTTTTATGTACAGTGCTACCTATAAACATGTGCTACAGTGGAACGTTTCGACAAGGTAGCACAGTTTGTCACGTTACTGCAGCAAAAGCAGGTGTGGCTGACCTGAATGTTGCCTGGCTTATTTAGGCTAAGAGGAAAATTGATGGTGATTTTTTGATTTTTATTTAAGTAATGTGTTTCACCTGACAATTATCAGGTACCCTGCTCGACTGTGCTTGGGTCAGCTGATTGTTGTGGTTTGTGGCGATCCAAATGTGTGTTGCCAACAGGAAAGTTGCAGAGTGCTCTGTGATAGACAAACTACACAATGACAACACTCCTAACATGGTTAAAGGAACTGTCTTCTTTGTTTGTGTTTTTTAAATGGTCATTTATCCGCTGTTATAAATGTCGATACAGATTTTCCTTCAATTAGCTTATATCGGCCGATAATATTGGCACGCAATTTATCGTTCGGCCTCTAGTAATTATGGCATCCGCAAATGTTTGGAAACCATTTTTGCTGGTACAGACATGATCTGCGTGGAAGAGTCATCAAAAGAAAATTCTTTCTGCAACCTAATCACAAAACTCAAATGTCTAAAGTATGCAAAACAAAATCTAGATAAGCCAGAGGCATTTTGGAAACGTGCTATGTACCGCTGAAGTAATGATCTGGTGATTTGGTGGCTGCAGTTGTTTGGAGAAAAAGGAGGAGCATTTGATAAAAAGAACAACTTGACAACTGTTAAGCAAGGGTGTGGATCTGTTATGCTTTGTAGTTGTGTGGCAGCCGGTGGCACAGGAAACATTGCACGGCTGGACGGAAGAACGGATTCCACTAAATTTGAGCAAATTCTCTAAGTAAATGTGACACAGTCACTTAAGAAGCTGAAGCTGAAAAGAGGCTGGCTTTTACAACACACACACTAATCCAAAACATAATCAAAATCCACCATGAAATGCAAGCTAAAGCTTTTGGAGTAGCCATCAGAGTTCTGTGCATATTCATCGAATCAAGTAATTGTGCATCAGCATTCAGAAACACATGTAATTAGTTTGCTGCAGAGGTTATGTTTACTTCTTTTTACTTCAAAGATCAACAAAATGTCATTTCATCAGGGGTGCTCAAACTCTATATAAGGGTGGTTGAGTATAAGAGGTTTGGTCAAAAAATAATTCTGATGACAGCATTTCAGTGCTGTGTGTTCATACATAGTGGCCTGCATAATGAAGAATGCATTAGCTTCTGTAGCACTAAAATATTAAGTCTTGAATGTCTCCTCTAGCTTTACATGCATGTAAATGACTACTGTGTGCACAGTCCCTGACTGATGAGTTCTTGGTGAGATCTTTCTAATGTGTGTGAATTACTCTTCACTGTCAGGCTGCCTACTGGGACACATGCAGAGACAGTAAATCTTGCAGCTTTCAAACAGTGATAGCAGAATATATTGATGTCAATAAATTCTTGGGCTGAAAGTCTAATGATTTCAGATCTGAAAAGAGAAGATTTAACTTTACTGCAAAGTAAACTTCTGTAAAGGCATTGCATTTTGTGAGGATCATTTTTTTTTTCTTTTGCAGACGGTGGACCTTCTTAACGATAATGTTCGTAAAGGCATGATGAATTACTATGATGATCTAGATTTCAAAAACATCATGGACTTTGTTCAAAGAAAGGTAAGAACTCACTGCGTGAATTTTTCCTGCAATTTCAGATGTTTTTAAATTGTTTCTGAATTATAAAAATACTTCTATAATATAGATTTATACAGACAAGTAACAAAGGAAACTGCTCAATGAATGAGAGCTGTGGTAAGTTCACATGCTCCTCCATACTGATGTACTGCATGATACAGTTAAGCAGTTAACATCTTACCATACTTTGCCACATTAAGTAGGTCCAGTTGACCTCGATTTTGGATCCAAATAGGAAGAGGAAAAAATCTAAATCACTTTAAAAGAGGTTCATTACTGCAGGATAGATGGCATAAAGACTACTCAACTGGCTAGCGTTTCAACAGGAACAGTGATTAAAGTGACAATTGCATTTAGATCTATGGGAAAGGCATCGGTAATTAGGGTTGGAGTTTGTGGTTCAAAATGCACATTCAGTAAGTGCATTTTGAACCACATGTGCATGTTACTCATGCATTAGTGTGACATGTAAGAAAAATCTCAAGAGTTGTTCTTCAGGTGATTGGGAACAGCAATGCAGGATGTGATCAGACTGTGTTAGCACAAATAGCATACTGACAAGTACATAGAGAGGGATATTATAGTAGGGTTGCTGTGCATAAACCCCTCATTACAAAGACATATGCACATTTGAGAGTTCAGTGGTGTTAAAACCAGGCAGTGGTCTACAGAGATGGGGGAATAAGTGATTGTCATGTGAGTCATATTCATCATTCACCATATTCTCCACAAGTGGGTGAGAGCATGTGTGTTGTACACCAAGAGAAAGATACAGGTCTAAATGCTTGTACCCCTCACATCGAGGGAGTCTGGAGGCTCTGTTGTGCTTTGGGGGCATTTTGCTGAAATGGTCTTAAAGGGAAAGGTCACAGCAAATCAGTATAAAGTTATTCTGACAGATCATCTTTATTCTCTGATGAATTGTCTCTTTCAGGATGACAGAGTCTCCATCCAAAGCGTTTGAGTGGTCACTGATTGGTTTGATGAGTATGAAAATTATGTAAATAATATGCTGTGGCCTTCACAGTCACCAGATCTCAAACTGAAAACCTTTGGACTGAGGTGTTAGATGGCACTCTCAACCACCATCATCAAAACATCAATTGAGGAAATGTGTCACCTGTATGTCACCTATCTGTAGAAAGCCAAATCCTCTGACCTCTGATGTTAAAAAGTGCCATGATTTACAAAATAGCCTCAACGGCACTTTAGTGCCTGTAATAAGATCTATGGAGCATTTGCTGCACTTTTGCCTCATTGCATATGCATTTATAGGGGTTTTCCTGTCAGAGTGCAAAATTCTGGAAGGATTATTATTATCTTTTTATAGTGAAGCACAACTCTGATTTACCAAGACTGATGGTAAATACTGACTGAGCGCTGTTTAACACTTGAGAAAAGCTTGTCCTAACATGGCTGCCATTGTTTGTGTTCAGATAAAAAAAAGAAGTTTTTTAAACAGATTTATGCATTTTCAATGAAAAAAAGCACGTGTAATGCCTGCCATGTCACACTATTCTTATCTAATGAAGGAAAAGAAAAAAACTTAAAATAAGTTGTTTTAGGAAAGTGTTTTTTAAACTGCTGTTTCTTAATATTATTTTGTATGTATATTACTAGACTATCAAAGAGAAGGTTTCATCTAATCGATATGACGGTTTTCCTTTCCACACAGTTGTTAAAAGCACATGTTGAAACTCGTTGGCTCTGCTATCCCTTTATTACTGAAGATATTCATTATTTACAAAAGATACTTGTTATAATATTTCTGTTCTGTTGCAGAAATATCACAGCCATTCTTTAATGTACTGCATGTAGCTAATAGATTTTGCTCAAAATCATATGATTCCCAAACAACCTGGGCGTGCACAGTGAAATTAAACAGGGATTTTACAATATCATACAGTTTCCAAATACACTCAGCACAGAAATCAGGTTCAGCTTGTCCCTCCAGTCAAGAATGAACATGTTTCAAAACTGAAAGTCAACAAAGTTAGTTATTTTCTCAAGTAATAACCTTTTTAACCTTTGTAACCTTAGTAAGTCAAAATAAGCCTTTATTTTAACAAAATGAGTCACAGTTATAACTAGAAACAGAAACCTTTTTTGCCCCCAAGCTGGTGGGAACAAGCTTTTGCACAAAAAGCATGTGAGCCAAACTTATGGTTATATTGTGCTGGTGATATGATAATTGTGAAGTTGCCACTGTTGATTTGCATGGACGTCCTAGTAGATAACCCGCTAAATTGGCCACCAGCACCAAGTGTCGGCATACTGATGGTAGTTAGTGCCTCTCATGGTCAATCTGCCTCTTATTCCTTCCTTCCTTGAATTCCCAATGGTAGTTATTGAAAGTGATTTTACTTGCAAATATGACATTTGTGGCACAGAAACACTGTCATAATATTTTTAGATCTTCATTGTAACTACTGAACATCAAAGTGTTTTGCTTGTTCTGTATAAAACAGCAGTAGTACTGTTATATCCCACCACAGGAGGGGCTCAGGTGAGTTGTGTTTTGCCAGCAGTTAAAATATTAAAAGCTTTTTCTGATGGTATCTAGTTCCGTTGGCCTTGTCGTACAGTATGCACATTTGTCCTCTTTTTTTCAACCATACAGAACAATATTGCTGTTGTCACCCGTAATCCTGGGTTTTATTCTTGGTTTTGTTGAAAGTTCAGGTGGAAAAAGATCTGATAAGTACTCTAAAAATCTGTTTGCCAAATTGCAGAACTGTCTAAAAGATTGAAAAGTCAGCAACTGCTGTCATGAAGTAGATGATGAACTGTAATGTAGGCGCCTCACAAAATTACTGCTGAGACATCAATATTCCATTTTTGAGATCGGAAATGAAATTGTCGTCAAGGATTTGCTTGAATTGCAAGTCAGATTTAATTGCATTTTGGTGTCATAGCTATGGAATGTATGCAATGCCTGTCAAAAGCATTTCTAAGAGGTGAACTGGTGTTCGTTATTAGGATGGGGCTTGTATGCAGAAATTTAAGCCAGGCCCAGTAGATTCATTTGTAGGTCTACAAAGTAAACAGTGCGTGTGATTCTTATTGTTTGATGAAGACAATGCAGAAAACTGCTTTTGAGGTTGCTGTCAAGGGCATCAAAATAATGTATGTCTTTGCATCCTGTAAACTAATTGTAAATTGTAAAGACCTTGAACAGGTCTTTTATTAACTTTCTCTGGTGACCAAATGTGTATTATGTCTCCAGAAAATGCCGTGTGTGAAGGCAGAAGCAGTGACGTTGAGCTTGTCATCTCATAGAACTGATGAATAGAACAAATCTTTATACTTATAGTAAGGTAGAATGTATGCCTATATGGGACTTTCTGAACCACTTTACCACATACAGAGAAACGGTCTATAGAATATCCTACCAGCGTAAATGGTAGACCCTGCAGGTAATATCATTTTAAGACAACCCATTTCCAGTTTTTTTTTTTGTGGGAGCAAACTAGAAGCACCAGCAGAAAGCCCTGCACAGAGCATTAGTCCTCAGTTGTTTGTAATAGTTCCACTGGACACAAGTTCTCTGAACACAGCAAGGCTCTGAGGTACATTCATAAGAGCTGAAATACCTCGCCTTCTGACTAAGCCGCAGCAACTCATCTGCTCACAGTCTGAGTGCCTGCATTTGTATGCACCTGTGTGCTGACAGTAATTGCAGTAATATTTTAGCCGTTCAGAATTTATGCAAAGATTGTTAGCCTTATTTAGATAGATGAAGGCTCACCATGTTCAGGATTTACTGAAAAGACATTAGGCTTGTGCTTCCTACGTATGCTTCCCAGAATGATGTCTGGCATGTGTTTAATAGGTTCAGATTACGTGCAGTCTCATTTGTTGTTATTATTTTGTTTTTGTGGAGTGGGGAGAGGGCATTTGGCTACCTGCCTGAGCTCCCTGCAATCACATACAAACCTTGTCATTTTTCCCCCAAGAATTTTGAACACCTTCTTCACAGAATGCCACACCGTGACATGAAGGTCCGTGTCTGTTTTGAAAAGATCGCCAAGCATCTGAATGGCGGTCGTTCTCCCCAAGCTTCTTTCAGTCTTTGCTTCATCAATTGACATCAATTTGCAAGCATGCAGCTGTGGGTAGCAATGAACAGCATTTTGTATTCTGCCTGGGAGTGTTTGGTGTTTGCACCAGAAAGCTTTCAGCATGTTCTGTTAAACAGCTGGACAGAGGTTATTTCATTCCAAAACATATTATAGTTCCATCTCATCCAGCTTAGTCCCTTAATTGTACTGAACAACTTAATTGACTAAGTTACCACAGTCTCAACTGTTACTTTTAGACACCATTAGAGTGTTGTTATTGTTATTATTATTACCAATAATATTATTGTTACTGCTGCTGCTTCTGCTACTGCTCCTGCCATTCATTATTACTATTTCATCTGTACTGTTTTTCACACAAGTGTGCCACAGCGTTTAGTTGGACAGAATCTGATTGCTTAAGTAATTGCCTCAAATAATATTCTGAGCTATTCAGATGAGCTGAGGGACTGGCATATTGGCATATGAACTGTGATGCTCTGTGAAAGGAGAGAGGGCCCTAATATTTATTCATGCATTCCCCCTGAAAGCTGTTGGCTCAATAAATGAATACAAAATAGCACACATTATTCATTTCACCTTTCGTATATCATGCCTCATCAACCCAGATCAATTTCAGCACAAGATGGGTCTAGAATTGTGTGACATCCAACCAGTTACTCATTACATTAAAGAGGTGTTTGGAGAGTACTGTATGCATATTAGATAAATGGCAGTATGATGATGTTGAAGTGTTTATTGGCCCATTACAGTGGCTGTAGAGTTCTCCTGGTTTCAATAAACGTTCAGACATGGCATTCTCTGTGTAGCAAGATATGTGCTGTAACCAGTTCTCTGGTTTTGTTGTGAAATGTTGCAGTATACATTCAAATGTGAAAATGAAAATGATTTTTTCACCTGTATTTTTTTCACCCTAGTTCAAATGTTGTGGGGGCATGGAATACACAGACTGGACGGTGAACATGTACCACAACTGCTCAGCGCCTGGACCTCTGGCTTGTGGAGTGCCTTACACCTGTTGCGACAGCAAGGTTTGTCTCCTTCACTATCTGCAACTGTAGCAGCATGAAGATTTTAAAAAGCTGCTAACATATGCTTTATTAAAATAATATTAGGGGTTTTGCTGTCATCAAGGCCCACAGTGAATCCTTTTTTGTTCTCAAACATTAAAAACTTGACATTAATATAAGTTAGTTTAGATTAAAGTGCATAGTACAGAATCTGGTCTATGATGTAGTTACTTGTGGTTTTTTTTCTACTTTACTCCATATTCTCCCTGGTGTTAAGTAGTTGTCAATTTCTCTGCATTATCTAAGTCTCCTCTAATGTACAGTGCTCTCATCAGTGCAACTTTCCCAGCCAGGGTTTGACCTGGAATTAATACAAATAATATTTCAGTGCCACTCATTTGTCTTCTTAACTAAAGACAGACTGTCTCTGCTGCATTTAGACTTCAAATTTTTAGTATAGCATTGTTGGGCTAAGAGTGGCTTCCTTATTTGGCACTGCTTTAGAGAGGCAAACATTCAATGTTTCTTTTGGCCACTTTCAGCTGACACAGTTAATGGACAGAGTGAAAATGTCCTGCTAAAGATATAGATCTTTACTTTGATGCTTTCACAATCATCATGTTACTTGCTAATGGGTTCCCCTTCAGCTAATGGCATGTTTGCAGCATTACTTAAGTGTGAACTAATGCATAGATTGGGTGCTTGCACTAGATTTTATAGATATTATTTCTCTGTGCCTTTGTAGTGTTAAAGTCAGAAGAGCAGAAGGCTTTTTTGCTTTTTTTATTTATTATTATTTAAAAGAGACTGTATTTTTGTTGTATTTCACTCAGCTTTGCTTTCTGTCTGGGAACAATACACGTGACTTCAGATATGCTCCCGTTTGTGCTCTTTTTTGTAAATCTGACTTCTTGGGGTTTTTTTTCTATTTATTTGCTTCTTTTTTTCAAGTTGTGCATTTTGGCCCCCAAAAGTAATTGGACACTAACCATTTCATCATTGGTAAACATCAAGTTCTTTAGGTTACTTCATAAAATGTTCAACAAAATGATATTTGTTTCAAAGAAAAGCACTTTTAGCACAACATCAAACTGATGCTGTGTGAAGAAAATGTGGAGAAGAATTCCAGTCAGACTGCACTACGAATACTGTAAAGCACAGAGGTCTTACAGTAGTGTTGCTGAGCTTGTGTTCTTTGATGTAATCATGAACTGAGATGTGTACAGGGGCATTTTGGATGCAAACCTCTAGAAATCTGCGAAGAAAGTACACAAACAATAACAATTTGAAACACACCAGCCACCTTTTGAAAGAATTCTTAGAATAATCTGTTGAAAATAAATACAACTTGCTTTGACATTTTGTTTCCTAACACAGTGAACCTAATACATGAATGCATTTTTAGGTGTGGCATAAGTGTCCAGATACTTTTTAGGGCCACTGTGTGATCACTTTCAACTATGGATGTTCCTTCGTTTGTACCTGGTTATGAAGCTGAAGCCAAGTCCAAAAACAGCTTTTATAACAAATGCACATTTAGTTTATAATAAGACTGTGTTTAGGCTTAAGTTTCACGCCTCTCAGCTGCTCCAACCATGCTAACAGAATATCCAAATATGTTTTGACATGCCCTTAAGCCATAAACGCAGTTTTCAGCACAATTTCAGTGCACATGCATTAACACTAATGGCATGTCAGAAAGTGTTTGACCTTGTTCACACTGCCAGCCCAAATCTGACTTTTAATATCCAGGTTGTATTCAGATTGATTTTTGATAGTCTGGACAGCAAAAAAAAAAAAAACACAAATCAGGTCCAAACCACATTTAAAGTGGTTTGAAATACAGATGCATCTCAGTCTGGATGCTCTGGACGCTCAAAACAAATTTCAGAGTGTCTTTTGCGTCATTCGCAATGCAACAAACACCAACGATATCAAATCCAAAGTGACAATTTAGGAAGAGCGCCAAAGATTCATGATTATGCCAGATAATTCTGAAGACTTTGGGTGGCAAAATGATGCACCTCCATCTCTCCTGCATCTGCGTTTGAAATACGCGTCACCAGTGTAGCTACGTAGTTACTGATGCCTACAATGTTACCACAGCAACCCATGCAGATAGGTTGGTGATGTCTTGGCACACAAATCCGATCTGATCTCTTGCAAAGAACACTGCGGACAGTCATCTTAAAAGATCTGATTTGAGAAACAAATCCAATTTGCCTGCATTCTGAACATGGCCTTTGTGTCAAAGTGATGTCCTGGATGTATCCCTGTTACATACACATTTGACAGTTGAACAAGGCTGGTGAAGTGTATGGTGAAACTACCTACCTGAATCTAATGTCAAAAACACATGCATTTTTGATCAACCATGGTCCCTGATCTAAATGACTCCAGGGTTTGTCTCATGCCATGTACGTATTACCTCATCAGTGTCTCGGTGCAGGCTGGTCAGAATGATGTTTCTCAGGAATATAGCCCTGATGCTCTTTTAACACATCTTTCTACAAAGATAAAAGCTTTCTGTGCCTGTGATGTGAAGTCACAGTGAAAGCCTGAATGTTATGGCAATTCAGCAAGGACTGGAATTAAATCTGATCATATTTCTTAACATGGCTTTCTCTTCGAGTCAGATTAACTGCATCTAAATTTTTTGGTTCTGTGACCAGATTGTTTGGAACACCTATTTCAGAAGAAAGCCCTGTTCATGGAGGAGAAGTGGTAGCAACTTTAAACCTCAAGAACATGTTAAGCCATAATGCCAAATGATCCAACAGATACTTTGGCTTTTGCTATAATATGGGTCAAAACCCTTGTAAATAACAGAAGAGGAATATTCTTTGTTCCAGTTTATTGGCCAAACCCACTGCAACTTGGTATTTTGTGAAGTTTTCTATCTGTATCTCACATAGTAAAAAGAATTATGTATATTTTTAATGCAAACTGATCAGTTTCAAAGGAACAAAAAGCTTACCATTCAACATACATTCCCTGTCTTCTGTTATTTTTTAAGAACAATTCATTGACTTTGTCTCTGTTTGCTGTTCTCAATGAATAGACTGTACACATGCCTGCATACTACCCAGGTTTGCCTTAAATGTTAATGGTTAATGTCATTAATGCCTTTTAGTGACCTTTTGTTTGCCATTACTGACCTTTCTCGTCACTAAATTACTGACCTTTCTGTCATTTTGCTAAAATCAGGGCAGCAGCCTGATTTAAAGAAGGCTGTTTTTGCAATATGTGGTGTGATCCATTTCATGAACAGACATCAAAAACATTCACCCATTTTCCTTTACATACTCGCTTAAAAGCCATATGTACAAGCAAAGGACCATTTAGGAACTTTACATTTTAAGACTATAAGTACGTCATGTACTTACGAAAAACTTCTAATCAAAAAGTCTAATCAAATAACGTATCAGCATGAGATCAGCAGGTGTGAAATCAGTATAAATGTTTATCTTGTAAATGATTACATAAATCAGGCTTTTGGCGTCTTTTATTTAAATAAATACAAAAGTGTGCCACCTGGCTCAGCACAAAATGTTCTTATAACAGAAGATTCTTGTTATGATCTCTGGAGTCTCTCCATGAGCACATTGAGGAACAGCAGGAGACCTTCTCCAGCTGCTTCTGGAAGTTTTTTCTTATCATTTAACTGTAGGTATTCAAGTTTCTACAACTGTGTTGGAATGGAGGCAGAGGATGAGCACTGTTATTACACAGTGTCACGTTTCTACACAGAGTTTTGAAGATACACAGGTTTTCTCTGCCTGCCACATCTTCTGGTCTGCTTGTTATACTGAAAGCATGCAAAAAGCTTCATATCAATATCAGTTGTTCTCGTTTTACCTTTATCAGCACCAGTGTGTTGAATGTTTTTTACAGGAAGTCTTCAAAGTATAATAATGTGGAATGAAATGAAATTATTAAAATGAGTGCAAGTTTAATCTTGAATGACAATCATTAATGCATTAAGCGGTTTTACTATTGATCTATGGAGGGATAGTTCTCTATGGTATATGGTGTCAGCACAGTACATGACCACTGAAGCTTCTCCTATTGTTAGGCTGGCATTCTGCATTGTGCTACCACACATCTCTTGCTTGTTCGTGACTACTGTATTGATACTAATGACTTGTCCACAACTGTCTTTCAGCCCAGTGAGGTTGTGAATACACTATGTGGATACAAAGCGCTTACCAAAGAGGTGAGTTTGTTTTAGAATTAGCCTCAAAATGAGCTTCTGACAGACACTCTGCCTACCTCTAGCTTTCTTCACAGGTTCTTGCCACTTGACTGTGCTTTGCTTATTTGGGCTTCATGAGAAATTGCTCAATCAGAAATATCTGCAAAAAGCACCACAGCTACGCCAGGAGCAGCTCTGATCTATCACGTGATGAGTTCTAGTAGAGACGTTTGTTGTTGCAGTGCTAGCAAGAACTGGCCAGGTTTTAAAGCTATAAACACATAATCCAAAAGTCAATTCTTTGAGGTTGCGTAAGTGTGTTATGTGATTTAGAAAATCTTGTATTCTGATGGCACTGATTTGAGATCTAGGCATATTTATCGGAGCTGGCTGTTACGAAGTGGAAGGTTATATCTGTACTGAGGGAAGCAGTCTGAAGAATTGTCCACCTCCACAGAATTTGAACATTTGCTAAACAGTATCACACCCACAATACATTCAGTATCTCCTAGTTTCATGATTTTATTCTAATCTGTCTCAAAAATGTATGATGGACTATGTACTGAACATTATTTGTTTCTCTGCCTTTCCGATTGTCTTTAGAAATATAGAATCATGGATGAAGTTTATGTGCGTGGTTGCACTGATGCTGTCTTCATTTGGTTAATGGATAACTACAAAATTATGGCTGGGCTGCTTCTAGGTATCTTACTTCCTCAGGTAAGACCTGCACCTAATTCTTTTTAGCATTAAAATGGAAACAGTTGAGCACCTCTGATGAAAAAAACATCTATTAACCACTCCACTTTAAAAAAAAAAAATTCTGTTATTTTCTATCTGGTTTTTGTCCAGCGTTTTACTTTGAAAAAAGCCAAACTATGCTTTATTTATGTTTTAGTGGCCCCTTTATTTTAAATACATGCCATCAAACAATGCCATACTATGCTTATATGATTTTTACAAAAATTTCACGTATACTTTTTTTTGTTGCAAGGGCTCAGTTGATGGCACAATGCTATCAAAAATAAAATAACAGTTGATTGACCACATCTATTTATGTAGTCCACTTTCATATAGGCGTAATGAGTCAAAATTGAAATTATTTTTGCTGATTTGAAGCAGGGGTTAGACTTTGTATGTTTTATACTGTTGAAATATTTAAAAATTGGCTTCTTCTGCTTTAGGAAGTAATCTATAAAAAAAGATATGATCACTCCTCAGCATTAGGGTTATGCAGTATAACAATTTTTATGGTATTGTTGGAGATGGACTGATCAGTGTTTTTGGGGCCAATACTGCCCGCTAATCGCCTTTCAGCACGATCAGCCCATAGCCAGTACCAATCGAGGGTGGGGATGGATGCAATTCTCAACAGCAAAACAAATACACTCCTCCTTTCAATGCTCATTCAGAAACTCTGCTCCCCCAAATTCATTAACGTGCATTGTCAAGGCAGAGAACACTTTTTTAGATCTTTGTGGCCTTAAAACCCTTTATAAACATTGTACAGAAAAATACCATGATATAAAGTTAGACAGAACAACAACACAGCAAGTAATATAACTACCATTAGCTAGGTTGTGGGTTAGCAAACTCACTACACTTGCTGCTCCGGAGCTAACCACAAACATTGACAAACAGGACAAAATAATGCTGACCTACTGATTCTGTGAAACAGCAAAAATAAATGTTACCTGTCAAGCAGAAACAAAGCAGCATCCTCATCCCTTTTCATTCCTTTCAACTGTCGATGAAGCTGTAGTTAGCTCCTTTTTCGCCAGCTTATTGTACGACTTTTCCTGTTCTGCCTTAAATGGTGCAGCAGTAACATTCTGGCGCTCTAGGCCAGCACAGCCAAAAAAAAAATGTGAGGCTACGCAACCGCCACAGCTAACAGGACAAAACAGTTCTCCTGCTTCATGGATGGATTTTTAAATGTACAGAAATGGCTAAAAGGGCTAACATACTATTGCTTTTGTAGTTCTGTTTCAGTTTAATTGCCCCTGCCGAAGCTATAGATCATGAGGCTAGTGCAGTGTAAGCTAAGCTAAGATTAGCGCTCGGATTCTGTTAATGTGGTAACAGAAATGAATCCCTAAAACTTTGACAGCAAACTGTATTAATTACAGCTCTGCATGTTCACACAGTGAGTTTACAGCTACATAGGATCCAAATATGTAATATACTTCAGAAAAATTGTTTTTCACTACTGAAATAGATGTGACGAGGCTGAAGTTTGGCTTCCTATTCACCAGCTTCTTGTTCTAATTTTCCTGTTCTCATATGTTTTATGTCACTGATCAGCTCTCAGGATTGGTTAAGTTAAATGACGTCCGATTATCGATCCCATATTTGGGCTAAAAATAAGCCAATACTGATACACAGCCAATTGATTTTTCTATCTCTAGTTATCATGATACATCACAATACAACACAATATGCTTTTCTGAGCGTATCATGGATTTTGTCTGAATTTTTAGAACACAGAGCAGCTGCCTTTTTCATTACAAAGAGATTATTAGTCCTGTTGTATTCATAATTTTTGATCATATTTTTTAAATGTGGTTCTTTTTTTCTGTTTCAACTGATCAGATGTCTGAAAAAAATAAATGTTGTAGCATATGTATTGTATATGTAAATTTCTTGAAGTATCATGAGACACTTTTGGCATATCACCCACTCCTGTTTAGCATTTTGTAGTGGAGGAGTTTATGGCTCACCACTGCTGGATTCATCTTACTTTATAAAAGCAGTATTGAAATAAAATAACTTTGTCTTTTGTATCTTTTGTGCATTGTGCACATTTCTGGCCTATTTTCAGATGAAAGAAATTGCACGCTTGCAGTTTGATTTGGGACAGGGCCTTTATAGTAGCTTCTGCTCTTTTACCATTTGTTCTTTGTTGGCTTTTTCAGTTTTTCTTCTGGCTACGTCTTAGATACTTTCAAACAGACACCTTCTCTAATTAAGTAGCCGGAATGCGTCTGCATTCAGTGTGTTATGTCTCTGCTGAATCTCTTGCACTTTTTGCAAAGTAAACTTTAAACCTGGTACTTTTCTGGCTCTCAGATCTGTGTAGGTGAAAAGGGTGTGATTTACTTGACATGTTTTTGTCTTAATTTCGATTTATACTGCAATTATTTGTATCATATGTTGTTCTAGGTCTGACTTCTTCAAAGTAGTATTAGTTGTTTTTCTTTATTTCTAAATGAATGATTAGGGCCACAGATATTTGCTTCCCTTCTAAGAACACTTGTTCTTACTCTGTATTACCAAAAAGCTAATTGGATATAGATACTGGAATTGGATACGGCTGGAGACTGTAATATTACTTGGTTGTTGAGAATGTTTGTCTTGTTTTCTCTCATTTTATTCAAAACATTTCAAAACATCATCTGTGCTGGATGAACACATAATGAAGGCTTTTATCAACAGGAACAGGATTCCCAAGAGCTTAGTGGTAAAGCAAGTATCACCTTGAGCAACAAGATAATTATGATTCCTTTGGGAAATCAGCAGTGTTTATTTTTTTCTTGCATCTGTTATTGCTTTGAACAGTGAACTCTCTCTTACTTTTGATTAGTTGCATCTTTCTGTAAGAAATGTTTTGCTCTTTAGTATAAAGGAAATTAGTAATTCAGTGTTAATTCATTACACCTACACTTTCAGTCCGACAGTCACTTTGGCAAATAAAAAGCTGAATATGGTGTCAGTGACCATATTGTTATTGCACCGTCACTTCACCTGCATTGCAGCAGTATTGTATCTGATATAAATGTACGCAACCTTGAGGTTATTTGACTATACTGAGAACAGTTTCATTCCGGCTTGTGGTTTAACTTGCTTTGCAGAAAAGACTTTTTGAGTAGTACAGGCAAGAGAGCTTAAAAAAGGAAAATAAAGAGATTTTTTTTTTTTCAGACATGAAGTGTGTAGTAATAGTAGTGAAGTAGATCATCTGATATAATACATAAATATCATGTTTTCCACTGCTGAATAAGCAGTAAACTACCTAGAAACTAGACATTTCTAAACTTGCTTTCAGTTTTTAAAGAAATCTTCTGGAATATTCTTCCACACCACTACAGTTCATTCTTAGAAGTTGGTTGCATTTTCCGCTTCTCACAATCCCAGTAATCTCAAACACATTCAGTGATGGGGTGGCCAGTCCAATGTTATTAGAATACTAGAAGAACCAGAAGTACGTCTTCTCAGCATCTGCTTAGCATTGTGTCATCTTGTTATCTTGCTGCAGTATTCAGAAATAATAATGCAATAATAAATATCAAAATAAAAAATGATTTATTTTGAAATATTATTTAAAAAATTAATAAGAAGAGCATACTTGCTGGGCCCTTTGTGGAAGCCCTAAGCAACTGCTTATACCACTTATAGCAAGAAACAGCCAAAGCTTTCTGTGTCTGTACCGGATGGCTTGTGCTTGTAAAACCCATCGACGCTAACATATCAAAACGTGCAGTTTACAGTATGTAAACATTTCGTAATGAGTGGAGCAATAAAAATGGTCTAAAATGACTTGGAATAAAATATTGTTGCATTAACAAACAATAAAGCTAATAATGTTTGTTTTTTTCTGCTCCTATAAACTTATAATTTTGGAGAATGGTGCAACTGCTTAATGGGACTAAATTGTTGACCTGCTTGTGTATTTCAGTCGAGTCTTACTTCATTTGTCATTGGCAGCTGTCCATGTTCAAAAGTAAAGGCTCATTAAGGACACCCTTGTTTAACCACAGGAATGAAATGGCGATGGTGCTTAAAAAGGGCGCAAAGGGTGAAAGGCTTCCATCAAAGTAGCTCTTTGGAAAAGCATTTCTCTTTCGAACGCCCAGCTGTCTGTTGTGTATCACTCTGTTTTTGATTTTAAAAAGAGGCATAATGAACTGATAAACATAACATGGTGCTGAGTATCACCACAGATGTGTATTATCATATGCTCACTGATTTGACTGATGAACATCACAGTAACTCTATGGATATTGCACTTCTCATTATCCGTAATGTATTTTCATATTGCTGTAATTCTGTGTATTTTGGAGGAGCGCAAAGACCGCTGGGTCACTGCTGTCTTTAGACTGCTGTTTTTTTTTCAGGTAATGATGTATAGAGGATATGAAGCACTGAAGCACATTGAAGCACAGAATTTCAAGTAGTGTTTTTCTCTGCTTTGGGTCGCCTCATATAGCAAACACATATACTAACATAAACCAAATAATCTCGATCAATAACTCGCAGTAAACATTTAGCAGCTTAATGCTTTTTTCCAGCCAGTCAGATATGATGCCTATAACACATCAGGCCTGTTAATCTTGTAAATGTTCATATAAAGATTTTTCTAATTTGATAATGTTGACAAATAGTTGAAATAATCCATCCGTTAAAGAGAATTTTTCGCCGTGTAGATTTTAGGTGTGTTCAAAGCTACTATTACATTATCAGTGAAATATATTGGATGAGATTTAATTTTATATGAAATCTTGTGAATGGAAATCAGTTTAGCATTGAATAAAAGCAGGGTCCAGTATGACTGGAGGGCTATAGTAGAATATATCAGCTATGGGTTTCCTCAGTGTTGGAGCTAATACCTGCAGAAATGCTTTATTGGCAGCAATGCTACACACAGCATTCAGAAGAAGGACTCATTACTGTCAGCGGCAGTCCCGTGTTCCGTCAAGGCCACTGTAGACATACCTTATTGTTCATTACATGTTTTATCAGATTGTCAAATGACATGTTTTCTAAGTAAAAATACACATCCTCTACAGAATGCACCCTCCTGCTCATTTGAATGCATAGTTTCCCTGGGGCAAAAGTTATGGGACATTTGATATTTTATGTTTATTATATATTTCAGTGTGTAAACTTCAGCCAATAAATAGAAATTGTGATCTAAAATGTATATTAAAAATGCAATATTTAGGTCTGTTCTCTGTAGAGGATGTGAACTTATTTTCACTCAGAAAATCAACAAAACATGTAATTTGACCAGAGGTGTCAAACCTTTTGCATACGGCTGTAGGTCTTACAGGATTTTCTGGCACCCAATTTGATCTGTTTCGCTGCTGTGAATCCTTCTGTTGTTGACGAAGGCACTGCCGCCTTGACTGACTGCTGTTTAAATGAAAAACGGATTAGTTTGTGATTAAGTTAGTTAATATGGATAATGCAGGTTGTGCTTTTGATTACTGTGAGCAGTCATCTTGCATTTGTAGGCTGCCTGAAGGTGAGTATTGTGAAATGAACATTAAGTTAATATTATTCCATTGAACATATCACATTACTTTTAATCTTGATGAACTGAAAAGCTTCTTCCTACAATGTTTCAGCGTAGTCTTTGGTGATCAGTGACTAAATCCAGCATATGAATAGGTTAAGATGCTGTTCTTCTTTTCTCCTTTCTTTCAAGAGCATAGGGAGCAGATTTGTAGCACTGTAGAGCCTTTAACAACTTACAAATATTTTCCTTTTCCAGTTTTTTGGGGTGATTGTGACCTGGCTGTATATCACTCGTGTGGAGGATGCCATCGAGGAGTATGGGGTCTACCAGAGCAGCCTCATTGAAAATGAGCCACGGCAAACCAAGAAACGGGGCAAGGTGGCAAAGTGGTACAAGTGCATGCCTGTGATTGACTGACCTCAGATAGAAACTGACCTCAGAGACTCTGTTTCTATGCTGAACCAAAGAAAATCACCCCATAGTACATGACTCCATCCACCATGTGGTAGACGTATGAATAGTGTTACTTTTTTTTTTTTTACAAAGCACAGTTTCATTCATAAATACATGGTAGATACAATCTTTGAGGTTCCTCTGACCACCAGTAACAGTTTACAGTGGGGGAAAAACAACATTTATTTTCCTTAAGACTGCAGTGCACTGAAGTTGTCTTTTTGAAAGTGTACTTAAAATATTACCGAATATACTTTTATGATGATGGATAAATAAAGAAAGTATGACTATTATACAGTGCCATAATTCAACAATGACATGGACAGTAGCCCTTATCCATCAAAGTGGCGTACGGTCAAGTCTGGTCGTAAAATGACAGTTTTGTTATTCATCAGTTTCATCTTTTGTGTATCTGTACAATCAAAATCACATCTGGTAGGAGTGCATGTACATTTGTACGTAATATTTTACAACCTGAAAAAAACCAAATCAATATCATCTATAATGGCAATAATTGCAATAATACAGTTCTTATTTTACATGCACATTGATAAATACATCTGTTCCACATTCTTTTTTAAGACATTTTACACTGTACCATTGTTTTTTTTACTACTGACACAACCCAAAAAAATAAATGTACCTACCAAAACATCTGCATGCTTCATGTAAATGATATGTAAATTAGGTGCTGATAGGCATGATAGGGCTTGGGTTCATGCACCAAAGCTGATTCATCAGTTGTGCTCAAATCTCCACTCATTTCCACGTTGTACAAAAGTTACAAGAATCAGACACAGAGATATTTATACATCATTAAAGGTGGTCAAATCTACGCTCCCTTTTAATTATGATGAATATGGGCCAATGACCCAATGTACTATTTTGATATTAATATTATTTCTATTTTTGTTTTTTTATTATGTTCACTTTTGCAAATATTCCTCATAACTCTATACATTTTATACATTTTCTGCACAAATCCAGGGGTGCCTTTATATAACAAATGGGTTTTTAAGTTTTGCTTCTCAGGGGAATGTTTTTGAAGTGTGGTATACTGAGTTCAGTTTTCAAAGGCTAGAAATACTTGCTGAGTGCTGTATCTGTATCTTGCATAATCCGTCTAGTGTGAAGCAGCTGCTTTGGGTGCTAAAGCTCTAAAGGGAAGAACTACCACCCTAATTCCCTGCATTAAAGACTCTACATCCAAGGTCAAACCTCAACTAAAAGTAATAGTGCTTTACCTTTCTTAATGAAACATGGAATTCAGTTTGGCAAAGTTTGTTGAGAATAATTATCATAATAATTTAGTTTCACACGGTTAATCAAGTGTAATGATCTGGTTATATTTATGTGAAGGCTTTTACAGTGTAAGTGCCTCTACATTAATTCCCATCAATTCTTCCCAGGGCAGCTAGCATACCTGCCTATTACCTATGATTTTGTCATTGTTGCTTTTTCCTCTTCTCTGTTTTTTGTTGCAGTTTCTATTGAGTTTGTCCTCCATCTTGAGTCAGAATGGAGTCTGTTTCTTTCAGCCTGCATGAAGGGAAATGTGCACAAAACCACAGATCAGGGCCTTGTATTTCTCAGTGGCAGTGCTGATGTTTCTCAGGCATCTTTAAATATAAAAATACATCTAATCACATCTTGCGGTTGTGTTGTGAAGGCACAGACCTCAAACCTGGTCATTTACAGAGGATACATGACTTTTTCGTTGACGGTGTATATTAGATTATTTGACACGACCGCTGGAAACCTAGCTATACATAAAATGCATTACTGCTCAGCAAATATAATTGTCTTTTATGAAAAATATATAAAGCATGGCTCTGAGTTTTAATGTTTTGCAGACTTGTATATAAAAGGTTAAATTGAGGATTGATGTACTGATGTACTGTCTTTCTGGAGGCCTGAACAGTCTTCTGTATTTGTGGACTGGGTTTTTATTCATTTTTAATCTGTGCTGTATGTATAGACTTTTCAAATGATTGTACATGATGCAACCCTGCCGCATGAATCGCAGCATGCAGAATGAATGAATGAATAAATTATGTTTCTACAGCTGTGTGTGCTGTCTTTTTAGTGGCTTTTCTTATCAGTCTTCTGTCCTGCTGTGTGTTCTTTGCATGGGGGCTGCCTGCATTTAAATATTTTAGTTGTACATGGGCGTACCCCCAAAAAAAAGCCATGGACTAGTCTGTTTCTGCTTATTTATGGCATTCACTTCTGTTACCTTTTCAATTTTCCTCCTTCAAAATGAAGGGTACTGCCACACTACTGTCATAAAAGAACAGAATCCTGCCTGTTCAATTAAATCCAATAAAGTCACAGTGAAATAAATCTGTGAAATACTGTAGCTAGCTGTAGTTGATATTGTATTGTGTGGGAATTGTACAAGTATATCTTTAATGCTACTAAAGACATTAAAGCGGAGTTCTATTACTGACTGTCATAAGTCCTAACTGGGGAATGAGTTGGATAGAACTAAATCCCAAAATAGACAGTCACCCTAAGGTATAGGCTTTGTTATTCAGTAACTTTAAATTCCACCACCAAAATATGGTCACCCTGAAATTACATTAGATAGGAAAATGTAAATTTGTTTTTCCCCCTTTTTAGGGGCACATGTACTAATGTTTTATACCATCTCAAACTCGGTTTTAGCATTAAAAAGTGTCTGTCCTGATTTACTGAATAGGTGCAACAATATAATGATAAGATCAAAGTAACAGTTGTTGCTCTTTTGCATCATTACATGTGCGTTTATAGGGGTTTCCCTCTCAATGCGTGGAGTACTGGGAGGAGATTATTATAATGAAGCACGCTCTCTGATTTACTAAGACTAATAGTCAGTACTAACTGTGCATTGTTTAACGCCTGAGATAAGCTTATCTTATTTTTGGTGCTAACATGGCTGTCATTGTTTATGCTCTTGTCTGCTGATAAAGAAAAAAAGTTGTTGTTTTGTGGTGGATCATCCTCAGCACTGCAGTGACGCTGACATGGAGGTGCCGTGTCAGTGTGTAGTGAGTGGTTCACCTTCTAGATGTAAAGTCAGAGACGATAGCTCATCTCTTGGTGCACAGTTTGTATTGGTCATGCTCTAGTCCTTCATCACTGGTCACAGGATGCTATTGGTGGACTATTCTCAATCCAGCTGTGACACTGAGGTGTTTAAATAAACTCCAGTGGGCTGCTGAGAATGATCCACCTCCCAAATAATCCTGGCTCTGTGGTGGTCCTATGGGAGTCATGGCCATTGAACGACAGGGTACAAGGAAGCTAACAAAGTATGCAGAGAAGAAGATGGACCACAGTCTGTAATTGTACAACTACAAAGTGTTTGTACATGATAAGTCGAGTTGATTAAATGGATAAAGAGTGTAGATACAAGGTAGGTGTACCTAATGAAATGGCTGGTCAGTATATTAATATGTATGTTACAAGCTTCACATATAATATGAAATGAGAATTCAGAAAGATTCGGGGAAAGTACTGGACATGGAGGCCATACAGTGACTGGAGCAAGGTGTCATTTTTGTGTCTAAGCCAGATAGCTCTGTGTGGCTATTATCACAAGGTGAACATGGTGTCTTTGAAGCTTATCCAGTGCCTCAGATAGATGAAGTCCTGGATCAGCTAGAGGCTGCTTGCTTTATTTGACAGTGTATTCTCTTGTCGGCAGTGTTCAGGGAGAAAATGGCCCTCTCCACTCTCTTTGGACTGCACCATTTTGTCACTTCTCTGTTCAGGTACTGTAGTGATGAAGGAGCGAAAAGATAACTGAACGGAATTCTTTAATAAACTTTGACGAATGTATGAATGGGACACTGTCTCCACACTTCTTTTTTGTCTGTCCTCTGACATCCTTCCCTATGTCCGGCAAGAGTGCACGTTCTGAATACATCCTGTAGCACGTTACCATTTACTCAAGCAACAGCATTCCGTGACATCTCCCCTTTAAGTTTGTTTTTCCTTCTCCTCTTCCCAAAGACAACATTAACTGCTGCCACTTTAACAGTACAGAACAAATCAACAAAAGAAACAGCTTTCCAATACTGCGACATTCCCTACCATAGACACATTTGCACCTAATCTGAGAACATTTCACTTTCCAGCTGTGCAATGTGTTTTTTTTCCTAAGTATTGTTTAGACTGTTCAAATCAACAGCTCTTTGCAGTTTGGCATAGCTGTCTATGTACAAACATAATCCCTTAACCAAACAGGGGGTTTAAGCTGTCTCCCCACCAAAGTTGTGTTAGGAATAGGAGGTGGTGTCACTGGTTGAGCAGGTGAGCAAGTGTGAAAGGAATGCATGACACTGAGGGGAGGGGTGCAAGGGTCACTGGTGGATTCATGGCAGCCAAAGGCTCTATGCTGCCTGCTGCGGCCCTGGGCACTGTCTCACCTTCTGATGAACCAGGGACACTCTGCAGTTGTCTCCTCTTCCTGAGAGTTACTGTGCCCTGCTCTGTTCACACAACATAGGATCTGATGCTTTAGCAATGACCCCTACAGGCATGTGCCGTCCGTATTCTCCCTTTAGACCCTGACACTCTGTCCAGGCTTCTGCTCAGAGAGGCTGCATGCTGAACTGTAGAAGAATCTATAAGCCTTCTTGGTTTGCTGGTCATCTTTCCTCACTTGATCATGAGCCGTAGCATTGGGCTGCAGGTTTTGCGGAAGCAACGGAACATTTGCCCTGATCTGTCACCCTGTCACAAGCTGTGCCGGACTGGCGCAGTAGCTCATTAACGGCAATAGAGGGTCAGACCATGGGTGTCTCCTGGCCTAAGCTTCCGGGGCTATAGCTCAGCTTTATTTTTTAGCCAGCCCTGAAGCTTATGAGGTTACACGGGGTCACATTCAAACACAAAAGAAGAGTGCACGCAAGAGAGGAAATGCATGAGTGCATAAAATTTCTGTAGACAAAAAGGCAAATCTACTGCTTATAACATCACTCATTTAAAAAACAATCCCAACCCAAACTTAATATTGTATGTGAAAAATGTTTTTCCAATATTCTGTCAGCCCCATTGGCCTCATGTTCGGTAACAGAATTCTAACAATAGTCTCTTTTCCTCTGTAGAACCAAATGGGTCTCAGGGCCACTGTTCCATTCTACGCTGGTGTGGACTCATGAGACCAGTTACGGTTTCTTTTTCCATCTGCTGCTAAATCAAAACCAGAAAAACTGAAGAAACTACACACAAGAGTGCTAAGAGCCTAACACACTGCTAAGAGCCTAACACACTGCTAAGAGCCTAATAACAACACACACCCTACAAAACACTTGCAATTCCAGCTGTCACTTTGTCACGTTACTTGATATGTTCTCAGATTCTTAATCCTCTAAATGGGTGTTATCTGAGCATCAGTTACTGAAACCAAGTCTGGTTTAATGCGGTGGAAGGCATCATACACTCACGTTAGCTTAGCCCAGTAAGCTGCAGCGTAAAACACTGAGCAAGTTCACTTTTGACTTTCTGTCACTCCAACACCAATCAGTCTGCTTTGCTCACTACAGTATAAGTTTTTATGGTCTATACTTTATAAGCACCATTTAGTTAAACTGATTCTACACTGGGCTGTTTGAATCTTACTAGCTAAGCTCCAAATACCACAGAACAGGTATATATATTTTGGCTTTCTGTCCCTCCAGCATCAGACGCTAAACTTCACTTCCTCAGACTTGAATCCTTATCATCTAGACTTGTGTCAGTTCTGTGGTAAGCAGAGCTGACAGCATGCTGACTAAGCTAATCCTAACCAGCTACTCCCTCCTGGTAGCAGCACTGTTATTTAGAAATTGGTGTTTTGAAGCTTTGACATTTATTGAATAGTGGATTTTGAAATAACACACCACTTTCTTTTATTTGGCATCCGTGTGAGTGAACTGAACTTATTTGATTGTTTTCAGTTTTGAAATAATGTGGCACAATATCGACATAAGCGTAGAACCAGTCAGCAAATATCTACGTCATTGCATCATCCCACTAAACAGTTCTGTGGCCCCAAACACGGTTCGCAAACCATATGAATAAAACTTGAAAAATGTTTCTGCATCAGCAGAGATGTATAGAAGAGATGGTCACTATTGAATTGCTGCCTGTTTTGTTGATGAGCAAATCTCTACATTGAATGAAAAAGGAACAACAGCATATATATTTTTTTTAAGTTAATTTAAAAAACATGGGGAATGAAATCCTAAAATAACTTTACAATGAACTTTGCTGAGCCCTGGATCTCTATATATGCCCAGCAAATGACACTGGTTCAGGCTGCTGCAGAATTTGTCTTTATTTATCTTTTACAGAGCCTTCTATGTAGTGATGAGAGAGTCGGTACAGATAGCTAAACTGAATTATTTCATAAATGTGGACAAATATACAAGAGTAGCACACTGGCTACACACCGAGTGGTATGTTCTTTTCTTTTTTGTCTATCCTCTGACTTTATTCTTTATATCTGATAACAATTCATGTTCTGAATACATGCCATAGCACGCTACCATTTACTCAAGCAGTAGCATTCCATGTCAGATACTGACCACTTTTCAAACCCAACAAATTGTGCAACTGGCCAGGAGAAGATATCGTATCTGGGCTTCCACTGGGCTTTGGGTGAGGCGCATCCTCACTGACTGATCTTATTAAAAAGAACAGCCCCTGATTGTGGGCTGAGAAGATTGAGAAGATCGCCCAGTGCTGTACATTAACAGGGAGCTCTGTATGTGTACCTAAATACAGCACCATTAAAGAAGAATGCTGGGATTAAGTGGACAGACCTCACCTTGTGGTATTACTTTTTGCTAATGCTCTTTCACTCTTTGCTTGGTGCACCTCTGCAGCTCACCTGTGCTGCCTGAAAGATGCCAGCATGTGGAGCACTCATTAGTATTTGACCTCTTACCTTCACAAGCTGTGGGCACAACTAGTAGTGGTGGACTTCCTCTCGTGTCTGGGGGCAGCATCAGTTGCAGGCTGGACAGCATTCGGCCTGAGTCTGGCAGTAAGGATATGCAGCAGGTGGCAGGGTGTGATTGGGACAGGG